CGCACATAGACACAGACAGACACACACACGCACAGACACACGCGCACGCACAGACACACACTCACACAGACACACGGCCTAGTGGGAATGTCACTGGGCCTGTCATCCAGAAACCAACGTTCTGGGGGGTAACACGGGTTTGAATCCCACCACAGCCTGCCCCACATGGATTTTAAATTCTGTGAATCACATCCGGAATTGGGAGCTGGTCTCGGGAATGGTTAGCACAATGACTGCGGTAAAAACTACCCCCATCGGGGGGGGGGGTGGTCACAAATGGGGGAAGGAAATCTGCCACCCCTTACCCTGGGCTGGGGGTACACATGACTACAGACCCCCACCCACTGATGGGATTGCCTCTTATTTACCCCCTAAAATAGCCTGTAGGACGGTGGTCAGATCAAGGGGGCAATTAGGGAGGGGATTTGACCACATCCTATGACAGAATAATGGGCCCCATTCCTGATCTCTGACGCCTCCCCCTGCCCCCCCGGCTACCTCCACCTCAGTTAATGATGGAAGGAAGGCCTCAGGCCTCAGGCCTCAGGCCTGGGAGGGAGGGACTTGATCAGAACCTCATGGCCAAGGGACCTCGGGGTCATAGAGGGTTTGGCCAAATACCACAAGAGGTGTGGGGGAGGGGGTGGGGAACAGGAGGAATGATCCGGCCACTCCATCCTCGTACTCCGCCTACCCCCTGCTAACTCCAACGCCCCCAACTCCCTCCACACCCACCTCCGTCTGCTCCATCTCTGTTCGTCATGACGCCCCAACACCCCATCCATCCCGAATCCCAACCTTTCTCCCACCACCTCTAGGGCTCAGCGTATTGACAACCATTGCCCTCGTGACCCACCCTCCACACCCCGCTAACCCCCCCCCCCCCCCCCCTCCCGCCCCCCCCCCCAACCAACGAAGCCCTGAACGGAACCTGCGAACGACTTGGCCTCTTCGACAGGGACAGCTCGGATATCATTGAGGTCGATCTTGTTCCCCACCAACATGACCACCAGGTTATTATCAGCGTGATCCAGGAGCTCCTTCAGCCAACTCTCCACCTTCTCGTAGGTCAGGTGCTTGGAGATATCATAGACCAAGAGGGCTCCAACTGCCCCTCGGTAATACCTGAAGCAAACAGGAATCAGTTCGGACGGCCTCCCCACCGACAACCGCGACCCCCAGCGCCCCCTCCAAACACCGGCCCATGCCTCCCTCAGGAGCCTTTACCAAATTGGCAATCCGCTGAGTTATATTCACACCACGCAAGTGCCAGGCGATGGCCATCTCCAACAAGAGAGGGTCTAACCATCGCCCCCTTAGCGTTCAATGGTGTTACCATCACTGAGGATCAGATAGAAGGGCAGAGCAGGTTCCCAAGGCTCTATGACTAACTCCTTACCCCCGGAAGTCCCGGATATTTTGCCGAGAACACAGCCCTGTCGATCAGGGGAGGTGATGGCCTGGTGGTATTATCGCTGGACTGTTAATACAGGAGACCCAGATAATGTACAGGGGACCTGGGTGTGAATCCAGCCACACCAGATGGTGGAATATCAATTCCAGATATTTTATTGAATTAAAAGTCTAGCGATGACCATGAATTCATTGTCGGAAAAACCCATCTGTTTCACTGATGCCCTTCAGGGAAGGAAACTGCCATCCTTACCTGGTCTGGCCTACATGTGACTCCAGACCCACAGCAATACGGTTGACTCTTAACTGCCCTCTGGGCAATTGGGGATGGGGTAATAAATGTGGGCCTAACCTATTCATGAATAAAACAACAACACAGCCACCCCCAGACTTCAGGACCGCACAGCGACCCAATCCCAACCAACAGTCAGTTCATGTATACCCGACCAATCACGGGGCACCTCATGGGGTTCAAGGTCAGGGGTCAGGAGGAGGGCCATTCTGCCCGTCGGGGCCTCTGCTGTTCAGCGAGATAGCAGCCAATCGGCGGTGGGAGGTAAACGTGAAGAGCTGGAGGCCATTCGGGCAACCCTCGAAGCCTGCTAGCCCACGCACAATCCGTTCAGGGGCTGGGAAATGCCCTCGGAGGTATATTTCCTCTCAGATCCCTGTAGCCCAACCACCACGGACCATAATCTCCGGAACTCCCTGCGACTCTGTCGGGGAATTTACATGCAATGTCGGAGGCTCTGGGAATTCCAAAAGGATGGGGGAAATACGTACGCTGAAGTGATTGCTCGGTAGCGTTCCAGACCAGCGGTATCCCAAATCTGTGTCTTCACCGTCACGCCATCCACCAGCACGCTCCGCGTCGAGAACTCTACGCCAATGGTGGTGCGGCTATCGTGGTTAAACTCATTACGTGTGAAACGGGAAAGCAGATTGCTCTTTCCAACCCCGGACTCTCCAATCAGGACCACTGCAAACAGAAACAGAGGCAGGCCGATTGAGACCAGATCCCGTGGGAGGGAGTTACAGACTGGAATCTAATCGAGGGGTTCGGGGTGGTTTATATACAGAATAACAGATACCCCGGGAGGGAGTTACAGACTG